ATGACATTCAGGTGACGTATAACAGTTTAAATATTTGAATATGACATTCAGGTGACGTATAACAGTTTAAATATTTGGATATGACATTCAGGTGACGTATAACAGTTTAAATATTTGAATATGACATTCAGGTGACGTATAACAGTTCAAATATTTGGATATGACATTCAGGTGACGTATAACAGTTTAAATATTTGAATATGACATTCAGGTGACGTATAACAGTTTAAATATTTGGATATGACATTCAGGTGACGTATAACAGTTTAAATACTTGAATACGACAACCTGAATGTCATATCCAAATATTTAAACTGTTATACGTCACCTGAATGTCATATCCAAATATTTAAACTGTTATACGTCACCTGAAACAGGAAGGTGAGACAAGACTACTCAGAAACCATTACAGGAAGGTGAGACAAGACTACTCAGGAACCATTACAGGAAGGTGAGATGAGACACGGAACGACTATGTTTGTCAGATATCAGGTCATGACACGACCTTAACTGTCAAATTTCATGTCATGACAAGGCTTTACCTGTCAAATTTTAGGTTATGACACGACTTTGCCCATCAGATGTCAGGTCATGAAATGGCTTTGCCTGTCCAATGTCAGGTCATGACACAACTTTACCTGTCAGATATTAAGTCTTGGCACGACCTAAGTTATCAGATGTAAGGTCACGACATCACATTTTCTGTCAAATATTAGGTCATGATACAACTTCGCCTGTCAGATATGAAATCATGACACAACCTTAAATGTTTGATGTTAGGTCATGACACGACTTTGCATGTCAGATGTTAGATCATAGAAGGCTGACATCTGTATTACGTGTTTCATGTCCCAAACCTAGACTGTAAATTCCCTTAATCCTTTAGTAAAGCTTTTAAAGTAAAGCACATGGTACCTCCTCTACTGAACCTTATGGCACTGGTGTCATTGGACAAGCTCATATTATCAACTAACAGGTCAATTTAACTTCATAAGTTATGACATACTTTTCATCATCTTCTCATACATCATGACAAGACTACTCAGAAACCATTACAGTAAGGTGAGACAAGACTACTCAGAAACCATTTCACCTTCCTGTAATTTATCCTGTAACCTATTATATGATAACCTCTTAAGCAATTAAAATGGGTAGGACAGAAATCCCAAACCAAGCACATAAGCTAAAATTTTAGTACAGTTACCTACAGCTAGGTGTCTAATATGTAACATGTTTCCTTTATTGCCTTATACTAAAGCGCGATGTTATACTTGCATATCGAGCAAAGTTATATTTTTTTCTGAGTTTAATGTAAATGCTTTGTTTTTCATCATTTACTTTAATAGTCATTCTAATTGTAGTTTATTTATACCTCAATACGTTTAAAGTTTCCGTAAAAAAAAAGGCGTACATTTTATTTATTTTTCGTTTCAAAATGCTATATTGTGTTCCTTAAAACTGATTCCCCTCTCTTAACTTTTCCTATGCCTTATATAGTAGACACCTTATCGCAGATAAGATCATATACTGAAGTTGTTGTCCATAATCACAGCGGGAACGTCATCTCTTCACCGCGACAGATCTGAACCATTAAGTGATCCCGACCACAAGGAAGGACTACTATATCTCACCTTAATATGTCGGTCTATAATCCAGTTAAGCTCAAAGTCTTCATCGTCGTCGCCAAAAGGGTTGATAAGTTGTTCAGCAACCTGTGTAGTAAAACTAGTTAGGTTTGGATGTGTTCAGTTTTCAACAATTTGTTTGTTTGTTCGTAATTAAACACAACGCTACACAATGGGTTATCTTTGCTATGCTCACCATGGGTATCGAAACACAGTTTTTAGCGTTATAAGTCCGCGGACTTACCGCTGGTCCACTGGGGGGGGGGGGGCAATACTTTATATTCGACAGCTTGTGTAAATAAAACTTATTAAGTTTGACATTACTCTAGAGGTCATCCATTATCACTGGTGCCACTTTTTGCCTGTAGAGGGAGACTGGTTACTTAACAATAGAACTTTGGGTATTAATAACATATATTATTATATAGGGTAGTTCAGTATAATATAACAGTACATTTGAACAGAGCTGTTATATTGTATACATTTATATTAAAGGTTGTATGCCTAATTTCTACTACACTGATGGTTAGTAAGTTAAGTGAAACGTTATGGAATCGACAATAGTTTTAACTCTCTAATTATAACTGTTACCAGGACAACATTTAACTATTCATTTCTTTCTGATATGTATTACTTACTTACTAACACATACTACACTTCAGATATGTCATTTGATAAATATAACACATAAAGTTGTTTGTAATTAAGCACAAAGCTACACAATGGGCTATCTGTGCTCTGCCCACCACGGGTATCGAAACCCGGATTCTAGCGTTGTAAGTCCGCAGACATACGGCTGTGCCACTGGGGGGCAGTATAACACATATCGTTAATACTATCATAAACAGGCCTTAACCCACATTAATTAAATTATAATATTTTCAGAACGATCTAATGCAGTCTTCTGTTACGATGTTCGTTTTAAGATTACCTGCCAAACTTAAGATTAAAGTGAAAACTTTGAGTAACTAAGTCAACATATACACGAACTAGAGGCTTTTGGCAATAGAATGCTATTGATGCTGGTGGTGCTGTTTTAATTAAATACAAAGTTGAAGTTACTTTAAGTAGTCCCATGTAGAACAGGAACTGGAAAATGGTGAAAACCGGGACGTAATAGTCGAAAGGCTGCTTGGCTTGTATTGTGGGATCTGGACTTCTGACGTACTGACGTCCAAATATACAAGCTACGAAGAAAGTGTAGGTGGCCAATGTGACGACCTATAAGATGGGATAAAATAAGTACTATTTTTAATTTGGTCTCGGAAAACTGGGAAAAATTATAACACTTTTATAAAAGTTCATTCAAATTATTGTAGTTCGGACTGTGAATCCGAGAATTCATGTTTCACGGTCAGCTGTCGCAAAAACGCGCTCCGCACTTCAGGGCGGTGGTTGCGCTATAAGAGTGATAGTCACTTTTCAGTGAAAGCAAGAGTTGGCGGTGGGTGGTGTTCACTAGCTGCCTTCTCTCTCTCTATTCAGATAGCCCTCGAGTAGCTTTG